AGAGCATGTGCTGTGCCGAATGTGGCATCTAGAGCTCAAAGTCAGTGGGCACGATGGTAAGGGGCAGGCGACTGCTGTCAATGGAATTGATGGAAGGGCCGCAGGGGGCGTTTGGCCACACCGCACACAATGCCCTTCCACCAATGATGTTAGCAGCAACCGCCCGCCCTCCGCCACCGTGCCCACTGCCTTTAATGCTTTTCTCATGAGTCGATGAAGACATTTGTCTTCCATTAAAACAGATGGACTCTGATTTCTCTTTTGGCTAGAAATACTTCTGGTCCTAACAAACCTCGTATTTACAGTTTCCATTGGTGAAGGTATAGTCCGTTATCTGAACTTGGGTGTTTCCGTTCAAGGAGCCGACGCTGCCATAAAGTGCATTCTGAAACTTCACGCTTTGCAATACGAAAAGAAAGGCATTAAACCAGCAAAAAGTATAATAAAACCCCGGAAATAACGGACCTGGTTCTGTGCGTTATTGTACTGCTGATTTCCATTGGTTTGTCCGTACTGAGTCTGACCATTTCCAGCATCATACTGCTGACCGTAGGTATTCTGCTGTTGACCATTTGGGTACATCTGGGATTGGCCATTGTAAGGGTACTGGTTCTGACCCATTTGCTGTTGCGTATTGTATCCAGATTGATACTGCTGGTTATAGGGATCATTTTGCACTTGTCCGTTATTGGAGTACTGGTTCTGATTCGCCTGCTGTTGTTGTGTGCTATATCCGGCTTGATTCTGCTGTGTACCGTAAGGCACGTTCGGGTTGTATTGTGTCCCATAAGATGGGTTCTGGGCGCCGTTGTACGACTGCTGATTGTTGAAACTGTTCGATGATTGGTCGTACTGTAGATTTTGGGTGTTCGGATTCAGGGTACTGCTTCCGTACTGCGTTCCAGCTGACGGATTGTTTTGTCCTGACGAGTAGATAGTACCATATTGTGTAGACTGTACAAATTGACCGTTGCTATACTGGCCGTCTGCAGCTGAAATTCTAGATTAGTCAAAGGACAAGGTGGTCGTATTCTTCTTACTAGTGAGGTGAAAATTATCGTCCTTTTTCGAGATTATTATGCCTTTCTCTCTACCCCTCCCCTCCCCAATTGCGCATTTAGGCTTGAAAGGAAAGGGGGAAAGGCCCGCTGATCATCGATCCTTTGCTCTATTTGCTTCAGGTACGTTGGAAACCGAAGGCACATGGTGCCGCTCTCCAAATACTGTCACTGCGCGAACGGGAAAGTTTCAGTGAGAGAAGAGAGTTGATCAAAATAAGAATAGGTGGCGCAGTTGAAACCGCAGGCCTAGATAGGGAAGGCTGAACCTTTCGCGAGGAGAAGTCTCTCATTGTTGAATGTATGATGGGTCATTTGCATACATAGATGTTGGCGATACAGCCTTGCAGCGCGCACAAACTATCAGAGTATTACCTAGCTGGTTGACGCGACCAGATCTGAGCAAAACACCACCGTCTCCTTCTCGCGAGGTTGCGCTTTTCAATGCGAGGAGAGAAAGGCGCAAAGTTCAAGAAACGAGTGTCAAGACTGTAATTAGGATCACTTCACATCTCTCGCTAGGCAATAGGAGCATTCCGTCATTTACAAGATCGACGAAGAATATGAATGGCTCGTTGGACATCTTCACGACTGCGCCAAGAAGTCTGAGAAATCCAAGGTTATCGGGGAAGGTCTATCTCTAGGAACTCTCGAGCTGAATCCGTCATTGACAAGATTGACGAAAAGGGGGGGGGCACCGCATGAGCCGCAGGCAACTGCAAGTTAACGCCCGAACTTGCGAAGTTATGAAAAGAAGCGTTAAAGAAAGGCCTCAAGGAGACAAGGTGGATGCAGCAGGCTGAGAAGAACATCTGCATCGCTCGCCGCGATCTCGCAAACTGTAAGATCAGGATGACCGCCCTCCGACGTCCGGACGGAACAATCACTGCATCCAGAAGGGCAATGGAGAAGGTCATCCACGACTTCTACTCTGATCTCTTTGACAGCCACGTCCACCTGCCGACCGCTTGGAGCAGGATACGTCGTTCCTGCAGTTCTCCCTTCCGAAGTCCGACACGCCATCTCGTCGGTGAAATCGTACGGCACCGACAGGATCAGACCCGAACATCTGAAGAATCTTCCGCCAGTTCTCGTCAAAACTCTGGCTCGACTCTTCACGCGCTACCTGTCGGAATGCAAGGTACCCACCTCGTGGTAAAGCAGCAGGACTGTGTTGCTGTACAAGAGGGAACCCATCACGACATTGGCAGTCACCGTCCAATCTGCCTGCTTTCTCTACTGTACAAAGGGTTCACGTAAGTCATCCTGGATAAGGTTGCAAAACACTGAAGGGCAGCCACGCGAGCAAGCGGGGTCTCGAAGAGGATCCGGCATGACTGATCATGACCATAATGCAGCTCATCGAAGTATCGCGAGAGTACAAGATGCCGTTATGTCTCACGTTCATCGACTTGAAGAAGGCCTTCGACTCCGTTGAGACAGAAGCGGTTATCGAAGCCCTGGGCAACCAGGGTATTCCTACTCAGTACATCAGGATTCTTCGTGAGCTCTACAGCAACTTCACGACCAAGATCTCACCATTCTACAAGGAGATCATCGACGTGAAGAGAGGGGTCCGACAGGGCGACACCATCTCGCCCAAGCTCTTCAGCGCCTCTCTCGAGAATGTCACGTATTATCAAGAATGGGAAGACATGAGCCGCGTTCGCCAAGATCTCGAGGATCAGGTGGGCCGGGCACGTCATGCGTTTCGAAGACGACCGCTGGACCAGAGCGATTACCGACTGGATTCCACGGGATGTCAAATGAACACTTGGACGACCGCCTGCGCCATAGTCAGGCATCTACGTGAAAGCTCGTATGAAGCTCGTCGTGTCCCTCGAGCACTGAGCACCTATTCGGCAACTATAGCATGTCGCAGGGACTAACGGAGAAGTTACAGAAGCCCGCTCGAGGAACTCTATGCTTAACTGGAGCAGGGATAATGTGTAATCACTCGTTTTCCGTACAACCGTTTCTTGAAACTTGCACTTCTTATAGTTTTTGAGCCCCATTCCATCTATTAGGTTGTTCGAAAAGTCCTGCGACACTTTGTTTGAACTATTCTAGAAAAAGACCAAAAATCATTTTGAATGTTTTTATCTCTGATTAGTGGAGACTGTCTCCTGGGGTTTCTGAAAATGGGTATATCATGGCTCCGTGGAGTTTTCAAAGCGTATAAAAATACCTCAGAATCGACGGCGGCGTACTTCTCGACCTATCCCATATTATGAGTTCCTGTAGGGCAACTCCCGCCATAGTCGAGGAAGCTAACACTTATGTTGTCTTGAGGAAGGATATCGCTTGCCATAGCAGGGAGTTCCTTTTGCATCAGCGCTTCCAGGCTGGACTTATTCAACTCGGAAGTAGGCAATGTATAGGTCGGCCACCAGCACAGAATGACGGCCCTTTACTCAAGCTTCTTGAGGCGCAGCCGAACGTAACCACCAGTAAGTTGGCAAACTCTTCTAGACTCCCAACCTAATCTGACAAACTGTTCATGCTTCTCTCAGTCCCGGTTATCGGAAAAATTTTTTTATGAAGGGTTGAAAAGCTCATTCAGTTGAGCCTTGACAAAGTCATACCGAAAAAAAGAGGAAAATTGGGGGGGCGGAAAACGTGACTGATGTTTTTTCCCCTTGTACACACTGAGAGCGAACATTTGTGAATTTGTGGTTGGTAGAGAGTGGTGAGGGTCCTTGCGTACATCTTGCACATGTTCCTCGCAGGATCTCTCAGAGAGAAAAGTAGATTGCACAGCCAAAAGCAGATGTGCATGGGATAAAGATTTCAGTAGGTTATTGGTGGGACTTCAAAGCGGTATCTCTGGATACTAGCATAACGGTAAGGACTACAGTCCACTCTAACCAAAACCGTCAACATGGATGAGCGTCGACGCGCTGAATTCTCAAAATACTCAATTTTTCTCTACCGCTCGGCAATGCGAAGACCGCATGTTAGGATCAGGCCACACCAAAAGATCGTGGATCTTGATCTGAGAATGCGACCATACCCAGCTTATTCATCAAAGTTAGCAGTCTCTAACTACTACCTTTTTTGATCCCTACCGCATCCTTAAGAAGGCAAAAATTCCGAAAATCGACGTCTACTCAAAAATGAGGTCCACCTCTTCTTATCATAGTTGCCGTAGTTCTATAAGAATGGAAATGAAGCTGCTGTGCAAAAGAAGGGCACTAGTCCTAGTCCTTAGTGGTGATTACCTTGTAGATTGGAGATGTCTTTTAGTGACTGAAAATTTAGTCCGAAAAATTGGTCAAAGTGTCGCAGGACTTTTCGAACAACCTAATAGATACTTCCTCAGATGGTCCTCTATGTCTCGCGCTGCAGGTGAGCACATGTTTGAGATAAAATAAGTGGATTAATTGATTAATTAGTTAAAAAGTTGGCTGACTAGTGGACTTAATAATTTCTTTGACTGATTAGTTAGTCATTAGCTAGTTAACTAATGGATTGATGACTTCTTCACTGAAGACAGGTCTTGCAATTAAATACCATGTGTAGTGCTGCTCAGTCATGAAGCTTTAGTCGCTAAGCGACTCTCCATAACTGAAAGGCAAGAAAAAACATCGAAAGTATTGAATAAACACCCTCCCCCCTTGACA